CGTATTATATTATAAAATAATAGTAAATATAAACAAGACGAAATGATACATTTAAATATATACAGTGACTCACGAAAATATTCGAACATTATACAAATTTAAGAGAATATTCTAACCTAAAAATTCTGATTTTAATGAAAATTTGTGTGCACGTAAAACATATGGCTCAATTTTTTTTATTTATACATGTTACTTCACGTGGGTGAAATCGTAACTCGAAGTTACAATCCGATCTCTCTGTTTTTTTTTATATGTAACTGTATAGTATAAAGTAAAACTGTATAAAGAAAAACTTTTCGAATAAAAAATATTCAACTTTTGACGCTCTGTCGATCTATAGTAAAAATTTCTTCATCTGAGATCGCGTTTAAGAATAAAAAAAACTGTTAAAACATTAGTCGTTGATTTTACCCTTTCAAGGTCATTTTCTACCAACAAAAAAATTACCGCGCGCGTAACTCGTTATACTTTACGTGCACGCAAACTTTCATTAAAATCAGAATTTTTGGGTTCGAGAATTCTTTTGAAATATGGCGTGCGAATACTTTCTTGGGCGACTGTATGTATTAAGTAGTAACAGTAACTAGAATAACAAAAAGTAATTCACGATAACACGACGCGCATTTGTCAATGTTCTCGCACTCGCCACCAGAGGGATACGCGTAGAAAATTTTCGAAAGTCCTCGCTAACCGTATCTTTTCTAGAAATATACTTTCTGACCTGCCTTCTACTGTTGCCGTAACAAAAATTCGCATGCAAGATACCACGAACTACTTAATTTCTTGAGTAAGAAGCAATCCCACTAAAAAGAAAATGATTCACCATGGAAACTACTATGTAATAGGGAAGAAAATTTAGTATAGCTGAAAAAATATGACAGATTCCAACCAAACTCTAGGTTATCCAGCAATTCAGAATCCTCAGTTTAGTTCAGAGGGACTGACAAGACTTTCAACCGGTTCAAAATACATCCGTACAACCGCTTTTCATTGCACGGCTAACGGTATGGTTGAGAGGTTCCACCGTCAGCTTTTAAGGCTGTGCAATCAAATGCCATGAAACTGACCACTGGACAAGAAGTATGTGTCCTGTGATTATTATTAGATCCTACTAGAGATATCAGAACAGCAATATTACATACAAGGTGGGAAGACCTTTACACACACAATCTCAGTGAAACTCTAGTGCTTGGTAGCCAGGAATATATACTTAGCCAGAAACATGAGTTTTTCGAGATAGACCATACATCCCACGGATTTTCTTTAACCTGTTAACTAGGAATGGCGAATTAACCTGTCACGCAGACTATCGCTGTTTTGGACGTAATAATTCACTGCCTTAGTAATTCCTTGCCTTCTAATGCTACGTTTGCATTAGGTACATTAATTCGTACTTTCATTTGCTTAAATTGCAATCAACCTAACTGAAATTAATTCTTTTTTACAAATTTATACGTCTGAGGTTGTAGAAAATCCTGACTTGATAAGTTGCAGAGTTAAAAAGTTAATATCATAGCCATCGATAAATGTACTATACTCAAGTGACGTAATTGGGACAGAAAAGTAAATACAACCTTATTTCCATCCAAACAAAAATCGATATATATATATCATTAAAAACAGTCACATGTTTTCACTAACTGTAAAAATAAAATATCAGAAACAAGACATCCTGACTAGTTTGCTAGTTGTACTGTTATTCAAGACACAGAATATTTTCTGTAGCACGGAATAAGAGACAATTTAAGGTCGAGTTCGATCATGGGAAAAGAAAAATTATATGCAAGGAGTATCTTCTTCATAAGACATGACAAACTGATGGAAACTTCTCCGACCAATCATACGATGAACTATACATTTCTGAGTCGGGAAATGAAAAACTTATTTATTCAGATCGATACTCGTGAAGTTAAAGTCCCAGTTGATCCATGGAGACCGGTGCCCATGTTAGACAATAAGGACAACAATAAAACGGGTGTACAAAAGACTGATAAACAAGCCACGAGAACAGAGTGCAACTACAAAGAAAGATTCGTGGGACGTTACCAAGCAACCTAGATCTACGTACATATGTGCATTCTACTACACTGTACATATCACAAAGTAGCCTTTCTACAATTAGCACCAGGTGAGTGCACAGAGAAAAAAGAGAATTCTCGAAAATTCTCTCTAACCATCCCTTTCCTACAAATGCGATTCTAACCTCCTTTCTAGCTTCTGCTATCTCAGCATCTAAAGCACGGATTCTCTAGGATAGCTTTATTGATGAGCCTACTGGCTGGCCCCACTTTAGACGTCCTTGCTTTTCCTTCACTTTCCTTCTTTCTCTTTCTCCTAAGCTTACAGCATTCACACATTAAATGTAGAAAGTAAATGAAATTCGTTCGTGATAAAATTTCAGTATACAAATATACTGCGTTTCATGTTAACGCATTGTACACCAACAAGATATTAACTATTATGAGAAACATTTGAAGACCGAAAAAAAAATATTTTTGAAAATTTATGTATACTTTCATACAATGGCATAATAGTATATTTTATAAGACAGTACATACTGTATCATACATACATACAGGGTATCCTAGCAACGGAAATATAACCGGGAAATTGACGATTCTACGTCAAAAAACAAATCGAAAATGAAGAATAAAATTTTTTCATTTGAAGCTTCGTTGTCAAGAAAATCGACTTTGAATATACACTGAGGGCGCTGATATACTGATGGTCCCTCCGCCATAGCGAAAGTTAAGTGCACGCGTATTCTGTGAATATTCAAAGTCGATTTTCTCTTACATTATAAATAGCACATGATAGTATTTAATAGGTTAATATATTTCAAGAAAATGTATTATATTATTACTAAATGTAAAAATTTAACAGATACAAAGAAGAAACGATAACAAATGCCAATAAGCATAGAAACAGTAATAGCGAAATCATGCAATATTACCGACTCGATGTACAATGTGTTAACAATCAAAATAAAACGTTTTTTTAAGAAAAATTATAATTTAAAAATTAGTTTATAATATAAATCCTCGTGCCATTTTTGATCAACCATCATAATAAAGTTTATTGTTTAAATTTTTAATTTTTTTGCATTACTGTGCTTGATTTTGTATGAAATCGCTGTAGCCTAATGGATATAACCCCATGAATTAAATAAATTAAGTAAAATTAAATTAAATCAAATAAAGATTTTTACGAAACGAATTGAGCATTTGTTTAAAGATAGCTGGCTATTAACTGACACAACTAACACAAACCTTTCATCATAAATTATGTTTTATAGACAGAGGAACATTGTGCTCAGATCGAAAGCGAATTTAGAAATTGGCAAATAGAAATGTATACAATAAAAGACAATTTATTGCCGGATGGTAGATTTTTGGCACTAAGAATTTAAGGAAGCTTTATTTATGGTACTAAATGATAATAAACCTCATGAGACTTAACTTGGTATCATCTGCAAATGAATCAAACCCAAATGCCATTACTTTCGACTGTTGGAAATATTACAATTGTCTGAATGACGAAGGATATGGATATCTGGCTGTCGACTATTAAATGAACTTTGTTGATTCAAACAGTAATGCACATACTCGACACATATCGGGTGGTCAATTTGAATCGATAAATGTAAATTACCAATAAACTGCCAGATACATAGAGAAAATAGTTCAAACAAAAATTAAATAATTTCAAGAGTGGTATGAAATAGAGTACCTAGCTTTGTTTCTCAAGAGGTTATGTTTCTTAATGCATTAATCGATCTACAAACTCATGTCTACTAACTCATGTCTACACAAAAATTACTAGTTCAAAAGATTGTATTTTAATTTGAATATTGTTAAGAAATCTGCTTACTTTACTTACAGAAACCAAATACATTAACCATTTGCACTCCAGAGGCGACCCTCAGTCGCCATTTAATCAGATTCTAAAGATGGATGTTAATTAATATATCAAAATTAAAATTACCCAACAATGCGTGGAATGTCGAGGTAAAATAATTCTACATCTTGGTTTGTATATAATTTCTTATTTGCCGTTTTAAAAGTATCGTCTAAGTAGTAAAAGTATAGTTTCTGTAACGAAAAAGTCACCAAATGCAAAGGAAAATTAAAAGAATGACGCTGTCATAACAACATTCAAATTGAAACAATTGCTAAATTCATAATTTTTCGATATACATGAGTTAGAACCTTTTTTGTGAAGTACGTACTTAGATAATTTTATTTAAAAAACATAATTGGCCTACATATGATCTTTACGTGCCTACAGAACACGTAATTATATCATTTTAGGTCCTTCTAGAAAATATTCTATGCATAAATCACTTTTTTATACAGCAGGAAATTTATGAATAATTTGCATTTATCGATTAAAATTGGACACCTTGTACATTATGCTTGGCGAGAAACCAGAGTAAAAATTCCACTCAATGGATTCCGTGAGAAACAATATAGTAGATATATAACCTAAATTATTTTAACAATATGAACTTCGAGAATTTAATAATTACATTTTTCTATATAACCACTGGAACATTCTTAATTTCTACCAATAATAGCACGAATTATTATCATGAAACTCATTCCCAATTTTATTTATTTATTTTTTAATCGTTACACAAACCTAACCTTAAAAAGTCTTTGAAAAAGTACGACAGGATATTAAACTAAGTGAACCCAAAGACAATTATATAATTATATTGCATAATTATAACGTACAGTAAGTACATAATTATACATAAAATTTCTCAGGACGTTGACCTTGACAACACGTGTCATGGTCGCTGCATCGGTCAGACGTACCTAATAATTGTAAATAATCACGTATTTAAATAGAATATCAGAGTTGCGTGTTTAACATCAAATTGAATTTGCTTCAACTAAAAATAGTCAATAATAAGTTGTGCGTACAATTTCTGTTATATTTAGCAAAGTCCTATGTAACACTAAAAGTATGATTAGCAAACAACGAGGAAAACTTACACTCGTCTGGGCTGTCCGTCAAGCCTTGTCGCCAGTCCAAAATCTCCGATCTTGACGATCATGCGGTCCGATAGGAACATATTACCTGGCTTCAAATCCCGATGTACAATATTCTGGGCATGAATATACGCAACGCCGGTTACCATTTGTTTCATGTAATACCGTGCTTCCGGCTCCGTGACTTTGCCACGGTACTTCAGCACGTGCATCAAGCTCTGTCAAACAAAAGTGACACGATTCTAATGAGAGAATGTCGTATATAATATATATCATGCAGAGATCTATGATACTCGATACTCTGATAATATTGAACTGTGTTAAATTTTTCTTTTTTTATTAAAATATTTCAATTCAAATTGTATATTTAATAATCAAGTATGAAGAATGTTAATAACACAATGGGTATCCCACAGTCACGCAAGAAGTAATTTTGATAGAAAACACAAGTTTTTAATTAAAAATTGTAAATATTGCTCAACAATGAAAACGCGTCGTTCTTTCGTGTAGCATTCCATTTTTAATAACCCTGAACTGTCAGCTGTCGCGCTCTCTTTCTTTCTTGTTGGCAACATTTTATCGCAGAAATAGCGCAAAATTCAAATCTTGCGTGAATTTTGGAACACCCTATAAATATTATTTCTTCATATCTTCAACGAATTTTTAGAAACACACGAAAGTAAAAAAATTGGTTAAAAATTAATTGAATTTTTAAAGAAAATTTATGAGAAAATCAGTTTTACTACTAAGATAATTTAGAAACTTTAAAATTGTTTTAAATTATTGAATCTTAATTTTGAAAGGACATAATTATGTGATAGGGTGTACGATACAGTTAGTATGGCTGTAACTCATTTTTAAACTATACTGTACAGTTTTTAATATCATACTTTATTAATGGGATTAATAGGAATTAGAGAATAATTCTATTAGGAAAAAGGGGAATTTATTGAAAATGTGTTAGAAGAGATGTCATGAAATTAATATCCATATTTTTTAACTCTGAAAATGACATTGTTGACACAAGTAACATTTTGTTATATTCGTTTATATAGTTCTTATATTTACACAAAATATTTAAATTTTGAAGTGAAACTAACATAATTAAAAAAAAATGTAGTTAAAAAAATCTGATTGATACATATCGATTGAGTAACATTAATAAAAGTGAAAAAAAATATATTTTATACAAAAATTTCTTTGTCAAAATAAAATATAACAAAATTACATAATAAAAAGAAATGTAATTTGTACATTTTTCTATAGTATATTACACACCTATCTGTATTCTGTTATCAATTTTAAATCACGTAATATAAAACACAATTGCATAGCAAGCGTAAGGTCTCCTCGGAAAAAAGATAGGTTAACAAGCGATACGTTCCACGAATTTAATGGCAGGCATATTAAATCTCCTCTTAAATTATATTAATTCTATTTTATCGTCCCTAAACAACCTAATTATACCCGAATCTGATTTAAACTAACATTATGTCAACGAATTATAAAAAATGTTGCTTGAACACATGTTAAAAACATCGCTTTACTTAAAAGGATAGTGAAAACTACGAACGGACTAGTTTATTATTTCCCGAAAGCACTTAAAGGGGAACACGTGCACGAAACCGATTCCTATTAACCGTTCGTGGAAACAGTGTTACAAAGAAGGAAGAGCACGCGATTTCGTGTTACGTTTAACGATACACTGTGAAGGTGTAAATTAATTTAAAACCGGCAATTTTGTAAGAAAAAGAAGATTCACTTAACCCTTATAGTCAGCTTCGAGAATTTATGACGCGTCGCTACTTTGTTTCAAGGAAAACGTCGTATCCCACGTCACAGATAATTGTTACCTTCTTCAAGGTTATAAACTTCCTTGCAAACGTTACTTTGCCTTTGTCGGAAGGAAAAAGAACGACAACCCATTACACTTCTTTTCGAACAACTTTTAATCTACCAACACGTGTTATTGAATGGGAAATAGTGTAAACGGAATATTATGGAAATCCTTTACAGCTTCGTGCACCATCTGGCGGACAGAACTCGAGTTTTGTTTCAAAAGAACATGGATACGAAGTTTGAATTACACACCTTCATAAATTATTTTAAAGTACAATTCCATACTTTATCAAAGTTTATATCTCTTAAGTATGATATTACGTTGTTTAAATATGATAAAAACAGAATTTTTTATTATTGTATCCAATTTCTTGCCTCCTAAATATTTAAATATTTAAAAAAATTTGTTTTAAATTTTACTTTTATTATTATAAATATCAATATACATAATTTGTCCTAAAATATTATTATTTATGGTTATAAACCATATACTTTTGTCGCATAACATATCAATAGCCATAAACTATTTTATCTAATGATAGTTATGAACTTCAATACATTCATAGTTATAAAATATTCGAGCTTCAAGTTTTATAAAACCAACGTGGTATTAATACGTTAAATATCTTTTTGAATTATCTTAACGATAGGTATGTAATATTTTTATTTTTATTATTCTATCATTTTTCAATGGCTTATTAGATGAAGAAATTACTATTAGCAATGTTAACGATTTCAGAAGCCAAGGATAATCGTGCGATTAGTTGACGGACCAGCACATCCTAACGGTATAAACAAGTGGACGATTAGTCATGGAGAGTGTAAGTGCTCGTTCTCTTTTCTGCTCGCGCGAAAATGTGATGCCCATGGGGACCCATGATTTCATCCAACCAACTAACACGTATCAACGACGTACGCTTTATATAATAGTGAAAATAAGAACTAATAAGAACTTTAAAAAGTCGAAATTGCTGCTATCTTATAAAACAGGTTACTATTTAAAATTACATTTATTTAATCTTTGCTATGCAATGAACTATAGTAAGGCTACTATATAGCCTTACTATTAAAGTGATCAATATGATTTTGTGAACTAAAAAAAATATTAGTCTAAAGCATTACAAGTTATTTTTATAAAATATCTCATTTAAAAATCATAAATTTTGCCAAAGTATAGGTACCCATAGTTTCATCCAGCCAGCATGTACCAATGGTATACATTGTGCAAAATAGTAAAGATAATAATTTATAACAGTTATGAAGAATTAAAATTGCTCTTTGCCCCCCAAAAAACGGTCTATAAATTATTTTATGTTAAACTTCAATCAATTTTCTCAGGCCACTATTGATAATTACCATAATCAGTGTTAGATCAATCAATATTGTTTTATTAGATTATTTTATTTTATATTATACTACTTTACAAAGCTATTTCATTTTATATTATATTATCTTGTCAGAATATTTTTTTCTATATTGCACTATTTTATACAAATATTTTATCCTATATTGTACTATTTTATAAAACTATTTCATTCTATATTACAATAATTCATAAAGCAATTTTATTTTCTATTGTACTATTTTATAAGGTTATTTTATTCTATATTTTACTATTTTATACAGCTATTTTATTTCATATTGTATTATTTCATAAAGCAATTTTATTTTATGCTGTACTATTTCAGAAGGCTATTTCATTTCATGTTACACTATTTCATAAAGCAATTCTATTTTATGTTATACTATCTTAGAAGACTATCTCATTCAATACTATACTGTATTATATATAAGAATTTTATTCCACACTGTATCTACTATATCTTATTTTATATTGTACTATCTTATAAGTACATTTTATATCACACTCTTTTATAGAAAAGTTTCACTCTATATTGCATCTACAACTTGACAAGACAATTTTACTCTATATTAAACTACTTTATAAAACTATTTTATTCCACATTATACCATTTTACAAAGAACAACCCTAACCAAAATAGTACAATAAATCTTTCCAAAAGATGTTGTTCAACCTCTAATTTTTCCCCAAATCTGACAAAAAAGGAATAAAATATTCTTTTTTATTCTTCAGTATGAAGACGGTGAAAGATACCAAGGAAAGAGCAGCAGAGCAACTTTAATTCTTCAAGCTGGTTATAAATTCTTCCCCAGTCAGGCGTAAGCTTCAAGCACTGAATGAGTTCTCGGTGATCTCTCTGTCCGAGTTCTTTGGAAAAACGAGGCTTCAGCTAACAGGTAAGCGAACTTCTCTCATTCTTCGAATACAACGGGGATCGGCTCGACTCGAAAGGAGAAGGTTAGGAAATTCTTGCGATCGTCTAAAGAGAATGTGTCGTAGGAAATGTGCAGGCAGGTAGGTACGAGAGACATACGATACCTTTCGAGGACAGGCTTCCAGAAGCATGTACACGTTAAGGTTATCCTCGAAGTAGTGATGCAGCTGGACAACATTCACGTGATTCAGCTCTTTGTGGATCATAATCTCACGTGCGATCTACAACGAATAGATCATTATTATACTCGCAACCATTCTGGCCACCTGCAAAACTCAAAATGATTATCTTAATGATAGTCTTCGTGTGATTTAGCAGCTTCATATTCAGGAGGGTCTTCGCGTTCCTGATTTTGAATTTACTTATCGTGTTCCTTCTTCGACCCTTTAACGGTGGAATTTTGGTTTGGACATGTTTACTTGGGTGAGTCATTGCAATCGAACGATGACGAGTATACTCGTCAGACACACAGTAATTGCGCATATTGTAACTCTGAATCAAATATAACAAAATGGGAAATATTAGGAGGTGGTTTATTTAGAAAATTAATAATTTTATTGTTCCAAAGTTTATGAATATAACAAATATTATTAACGCATATTATTAATACTATTAAAAATATTTGCCATTGTGCAGAAATAAAAAATATGAAGTAAATGCTTATTAATGAAAATTAAATTACGCATTAAAATAAAAGAGAAAAAATTCATATATGTAAGTACATGAGAAACAAAAGATAAAAAGACAAATAAGAAAGTAAGAAAACGCTATAGTTTCCATAAGAAATGATTTCAATATTGTGTAATATTTTAATAAAAATGCAGACAATTATTATTAATTTAATTTCTTTCCTCTAGTAAAAGAAATATATTTTAAAAATTGTTTATTAAGATTTCAATTTTTGTAGAAGATTTATTTTCCTACATGGTGAATATACTTTTTCCATTTTTTGTTCTTATAACATTTGTAAGTAACATTTTGTATATTGTTTATAATAATGAAGATGTTCAAGTAGACAAAATTTATGGAACTCACTGTATATACCTTTTCCTGATTTTTAAATAAGAGCCATATTTTTAGCAATTAAATGTTAATAATAGGCAATTTATAATAGCAAGGATAATAATAAAGGAACAAAATCATTTTTAAACAATGAACAATAGAAATTAATTTTTTGATTTTAATTTTAAATAAAAATAGGCAATAAGAAATAAATAATAGTAGTATAACTGTGTGCACTTGACACGTGATAGTGAATAATTCATATTTATTCATTGCATTTTATACAGATTAAAGGATTATAGGTCAATATAATCCCCTTGAAACAGATTTTCGATAACTTTATTGGCTTTGCAATAACTTGTTTGATCTATTATAAAAGAATATAAGTATCTCAACCATCGTAGTAGATAAAAAGATTAGATATAAATCTCAGAAGAAACAGAATAAGAAAAGAGATAACGTTACACAATTGATTATAGGTATACTACACGACAAAATGATAGTATCCATAATTTCCAGTGTTCCTCGAACAGCTTCAAAGAGATATTATCTCGGCAAAAGGGATTTTACAGGGGAAGGGTTGTGCTCTATATTACTATTAATAAAAATATCGGAAAAAATTACTATTTAGGGTTATGTATTATGTAATATTATATAGTATTATAGTGATAATATTACTATTTAATTATTGCAGGAAATATTCCAAAAATAATAATTTTTTTTATTAAATAGTAATTTTTTCCAATATTTAAATAGCAATATTATTACTATAGTACTACATAATATTACTATTTAATTACTAGATAAAATTACTATTTAATAATATTATTACTATAATACTACATAATATTACTATTTAATTATTGGAGAAAATTACTATTTAATAAAAAAATTATTATTTTAGGAATATTTTTTTAATATTGTAAAAATTGATTCTTTTTAATCATGTATTTATTAAACTTTGTTCTAGAGATAAAATTGCAATTCGAATATAGCGAATGTATAAAGTATTCATCCCACAGTAAACTCTAACAAAAAATGGAATTTAGTTTGCATCAATAATTTACTTTATATAACTTAGTTTATTAACAAAAAAAAGATTCATAGATATTCTTAGAAATTTCAAGAACAAATGTCCTAAAAGAGAAGTGTTATTTATATTTTCAATGAAAACATTAACGAAAGTCTTGAGTGCGAGCAGAAATACACGCTTAATAATTCCTGTTTCACAACACCATATGTTCTCATAAAATATGAAAATAAAATATCTGAAACATGTCCAACCTATAATAATTCATTTAATAATATATCAATAATAATAATTCTAACATTTAAATATGAATATGAATGTTGAAAAAAAAATTTAAGAAGATCTGAAAAAGCATTTTTCTATACGAAGTCAGATGTCTCAAGATATTCAAATATCCTCGAGGGATTAATGAATATTACGAGACGGTAGTTTGTGTTCAGAGAAATTTTATATTCACTAATGCAAATTAAAAATGGTTCGCGCAGACATTCTAGCACGCTTCTTTTTAGAGTGTATTGCTTTCTAAAAAAGTGAAAATTATAAATATGTTTGCATATTATGACACGTTTACGTAATACGAAAATTATGGTTCCCTGAACACAAGAATTTTATTAATAGTCTCGTAATTGAGGAATATCCGAGGGATATCCGAACATGATTTGGAACGAAATCAAACGACTGTTACACATTTGCGAATCTCCGAAAGGAACTTCGTCTTCTCAACGTGAAAATTTTAAGTTTCAAAATAGAAAATAGAAATATGGAATAATCGCAATACGTTACGTTTAAATGACGTACACGTTTCTTAAAAATTCCTTTGGATAATTTAATTGGAATATTATGTTGAAATATAAATTATCGAGAATTATTATGGCGACGAAAAGGTTTGCAACAGTGAAACATAATGTAATAAATGAACCACGAAGAAATAAAATTGAATAATAATGATTCGTTTGTGTGATGTGTACAAACCTTTTGCATATGGACCTTCTGCATTCGGTTCTTCCGAATAATCTTGCAAGCATATTCCTTTCCATTATTGACATCGGTCATGAGGAAGACTTGTGCGAATCCACCCTGAAAAGAAAATAACAATATATATAAATAATGATGTATTTCGCAATTTACAATTAAATTTATTATTAATCATTATTAATGTAATTTATAATTACATTTATTATTAATCATTACGTCACAATAATGTCACATATAATTTATTCTTAATTATTATACTATATATAATGCTATATTTATTAATTATTATGTCATATATAATTCCACATTTATTATTAATTACTGTGTCATATATAGTATTATATATTTTATCAATTATTATAACATATATAGTGTCACATTTTGTATTGATTTTTATACTATATCTAATATCACATTTCTTATTAATTATTATACCATGTATATAATATCACATTTTCTTGTTAATTATTATACCATATATGTATAATACTATATTTTTTATTAATTATATCATATATAATGCTTCCACTAATTATTTCAAATATATTTATATATACATGTTTCAACACGTTTAAAACAATAAATTTTATCATCGAATCTACTATATACTTAAAGTTTAAATAAATTTTAATTTGTCCGCTAATTTAAACCTGTTACTGCATTTTTACTAGCTGCGATATAACCGGTAAGGAACCTGTCTGTAATTCTTAGTAATTAATATCAAATCCATATGGAGGCAACCTTGTAATTTGAACTGGTAGTTGAAGGATAAGAATAGGGCAAAGTTCTATGGATTTTTTCTCACCATTAAGACTATATAGGTATTAGTATAGGTATTAGTATATATATACGGATATAATACAGCAGCAGTATAGGAGCAGTATAGTACTATATAGTAGTATATTGTAACATAGGTATATACAGTAGCAGTATAGTTGTATATACTACTATAGTACTATAGGTATAGTATTAATAGATTAGTATATAGTAGTATAGGTATATATAGGTATATATAGTATAGGTACATATGTATGTATAGATATTACTGTAAGTAATAATATAGTTGTATATAGTACTATAGGTATATACAGTATTAATAGAGTAGTATATAGTAGTATAGGTATATATAGTATAGGTGCATATGTATGTATAGGTATTACTGTAAGACATCACAACGAGTTAAATGAATAAAAATCGCCTAATTATTATAAATCACAGCTAACAAATATCGAAATCATCTGTTCCAAAGAGCGAAGCAAAGACTCGGGAAATTACATTACGGGCAGGAAAAACAAAAAGGGGAAAAAACGACGCGTTTCAAAATGAAGAGTCTCGCGTTAGGATTCAACAATTTCTCCAATAGCATCCATTTGGGCCTGCGGAGTGAAAGGTTTCCACTTTTAGGGGCACTTGCTTTCGTTCTACGAGAGTATCTCTAAATTATCTTTTATTGCCTCGCCACGGTGGATTTAACGGGGAGGAAAGTAAAAACGGTCTTCTCGACACGACGAAGCACTCTTTCATTGCTTTTGCAAATCATTTACCTTCCTTCTGGGACACTTTTACTCAAACCGAACAACATAGCGTTATTCTTAGTACCGACCGACTTTCCACTACAATTCTAGCTTTTCATCCAGAGGAAAGATTAACCTGTTTCCTTTGTGAATTCGAATAATATTACGATAATAATGACCCCTTGTTCGTGGACCGGGGAGACATCGTTTGTACCCAGATACAAGAACTTTTTATTTAAGAAAGATTCTTTCCTGGTTTTTGTAAGGCCAATTAGTTAGCACTGATGATCGATATCTCGTTCACTCTCACTGTGTACCGAGGTTTTCTATGATGATAACATCATACAGAAAATGAATTATTTAATCTCTGAAGGAATTTTCACTGGGTTCGATTTTATCTTGTATTTTCCTGTTTGTTTTGGTATTGACAGAGATAGATTAGAGCAATTATCTGTTAAGAGTGTGTAATAACAAAATCTGTAAGCTGCTACCGATCAGTGTTTCGTTATCTATTATATCTTCATTTTTGAGATATTGCTTGATCTTCGTTTTAAAGATATTAACTGATGGATCAAATTGCACAATTTTTTTAAAGATATAAGATGCATTTTTATTTATATTATACTTTTCCTCTGAGGAGTGCACAAATTATATATCTAGTATTGTAATCTAATTATTAAAGAAATTTAAATTTTTTAAATAACCAATTAAATGATTACTAATTACTAATTAACTAATTACTAAAACTCTGCGATACATTAAATTATATATTATGTGCATCAATGATATAGTAACAAATAGGCACAATTCTTATTGATTTACAAAAAAAAAAGAAGAAAATATAATAATAATGATGGCAATTATCTATTCCTCTTCTACCTTCACTACCTTGAAAATCCAGAGAAAATGAGATCAGTATCCTTATTTAAATAATCAAGTATTGCAACCTTTTTCAAGATAATTTTTATTCCTTTTTTTCTGATACGAACATAAATAGCATATTTTACATCTGATTAATAAATTAACTAGAATTATTTGAAATTGTGGCATGCGATATTTCTCAACATGCTAAAACGTGTATCATATTTTTTGTTGCTGTAACAAAAAAAAAAGAGATAATTTTCATCAACAAAAAAGAATAATAGTATTTATTTATCTATTTACCATATTTTTTATTTGACACTTTAGAAAAATATATGTCAATAACCTTAATTAAATAATCAAGTATTGCATGTCTTAGCTCTCTGCAGATGAGAACTTAACAAAAGTGCAAGTCAAAAGTTAACTATGCCTAGAGTATCGAATAAACCATTGAAAATAACAAACTATGGAAAATTTGGTACATATATTGTATAAAATTATAATATTATGTAAATTCCTATATTATTA